GCCGAGCCGGGTCTTTTTCTTTAACATAGGCACTTCCTAAACTTTTCCTCTCATAATCTATGCCATTAACATTTAAGAATTTTAAATAGGTATTAATTATTGGTACAAAATTAAAAAGTTACAAAAGGGCATATAATGAAAAAGTTTCTCTCCTTCCCTAATCTCAGCCAATTATATCCTTCCCTGGGAGCAATAAATGTCAATTTGTTCTGCAGCTTTCCAGAGAAAGCCAAAGGGAGAAAAATATATGTGTGTGTGAGTATTACATATATAGTGTTATTGTTTTGTATTATTTTCATAGAAATGAAAGCATACTACACACAATTTTTTATATATATGTATCAATTTCTCTTGAAGATGGTTCCACATCAGTATATAGCAGTGACTCTCGTATCTCTTCCCCTCTCCCCAAGCCCCAGTAACCCCTTATAATTCTCATTACAAAAGAATAGCTATGTAATATTCCACTGGGTAGATGTCACACAATTTCTCTGAGTCTCTCACTGATCTGTTGGTTATCTGCAATCTTTTGCTGTTTCCATGCCTCAAGGAGCAAAGTTTTACATATGCCATTTCATAGGTGTATAGAAACCTCAGGATACCTTATCAGAAGTAGCCGCAGGGACACAGATTTGTCATTTTGATACAGACCCAAATGTCTTTTGGACGGCAGCTGAGGTCTTTTGTTCCATTGTGTATTCCAACTTACATTTTGGTATCTCATGACTTTTTTTGTTTGTTTGTTTTCTATTTTTTTTTATTAACAAGCAAAGGTATCTCAGGACTTTAAACAATTTCCAAGCTGAGAGCTCAGCCAGAAAGGAAGCAAATCATTTACTGAGGAAGACTCAGGGTGTCCAACTCACAGCTGGCAGGTCACATGTGGATGATGTGAGGATGTTTTCATTTACCTGTGGCATCAGATATCATGAAAATTATGCACAGACCTTTTTTGTTGCTTTTGGGCTTTCGTTACTGTTGTGTATTGAATGAGTGGCCCAAGCTGACTCTTCTTCCAGTGTGCTTCAGAGAAGCCAAAAGGTTGGATACCACTGCGTGCAGATGATGACATACAATTTAAATTACTTAGAGCCACTGGCCTAGAATGAAAGGGGAAAAAAAGACTAAGAAAAGGGAGCAAGTATGTAAATCCTATTCACAACTCTGATTACTGTTCCTTTCTCACTTTTACTTGCTTTCTATTTCCTGGCAGCTAATAATTATTTTATTTGCTTGCTTAGTTTTCTATGTACTTACAGAATTTCAACAAACAGCTTTTATTCTAGTTGGTCACAATTTGATGCTTAGAGGTATAAAATTCAGTCAAAATCTTGTTCATTGAAATATTATTGCTAATTGTGAAAAACTCAAACCAAATCAAATATCCAATAGGGAACAGATTAAATACATTATAGTTTGAAATGCTTTGCAGATCTCAAAAAAGGAAGGCTGATCAACCAGTACTGACAAATGAGCCAAACTGAGCCTTTAATTTTCCATCATAATGTATACTTGTAACTCTAAAATTTTATAATAGTTGGGCATGGGGGTTCATGCATGTAAGTCTAGAACTTTGGGAGGCTGACAATGGTGGATTGCTTGAGCTCAGGAGTTGTAGACCAGCCTGAGCAAGAGCCAGACTCATCTTTACTAAAAATAGAAAATTTAGCCCAGCATTGTGGCAGGTGCCTGTAGCCCCAGCAACTTGGGAACCCGAGAGGTTGTGAAGACACTCTAGCCTGGGCCACTGAGTGAGATGCTGTCACAAAAAATTAAATAAATTTTTATAATAAGCATGTAGTTTTGTAATCAGAAAAAAATTATAAGAAAAATTTAAAAACAATCAGATGCAAATAATCTGTATTATATTTTTTCGTAGTTATTCATATGATCAATCAGATTTTTAACTATTTTATTTCGTTATTGGGGAAAAGTCTGTTTTTTTAAAATTTGTTTTTCCCAACTGCACAAGTTTGGCAAGTAGGCCAATCATCCCTGAGATAAGTGAAGAGATTCAACTCAGAAAAAAGGAAAACCAGAAGTTTCAGGAATAAAACGTTTCAAATAATGTTTTCAGGAAATGAGTGCAGAGGGGTGACTGTAAAGGACGCATTCGCTTATACTAAACTAAGTCTTAGGCAGTGAAACGCTTCAACTTCGTCCCAGACAAAAGCAGGAGCATCCAGGGGAGGCGCGCGTCTCACACTCAGGTCCACAAAGGAACACCTGCCCCTTCCTTTCCTACAGTGCTGGGATGTGGAAACGCAGCGACACCGTCGGGTTACTGATGTGAACAGCGCTCGGCCTTCAAGGCTCCTAAAGGGACTTTTCACAGTCGCCCTTCCTCTAGGGCAGACCCACGGATAGGATGCCGGCCCGAGGCAGGCTGTCCCCAGACTTCTGGCCTCTGTGTCAGGACACACACGCTGACACCATCACTCACTTCTGGGGGCTGTGAGGGTGCGGGAGAAGCGGAATAAAACAACAGCTCTGCTCGCTCGGAAATTTAACATATGCGCAAGCCAGAGCGCCCGCGGATACATCCTCCCGAGTCCTTACGGGCTACGCCGGGCTCCCGGGGACCGGGGACCGCTCGTCCCTCCCTCACCCCCAAGCTCCGCTCAGCCCCGGGGACCACCAGGTCCGGGCGGGAACCACGCACCTACACGAGCGGGACGCGCAGGCGATCCCCCTGCAGCCGGTTGAAGGCGGGGAACGTGCTCCAGGCGAGGACCCCGCCGCGCTCGGGTCCCAGCAGGGCCACGAGCAGCGCCTGGTGCTGGAAGCGCACGGTCGGCTGCTCCTCGTAGCTGCTCCGCTTCAGCCAGAACCCTGCGTAAAAGAGGGCGGTGGGGACGCCGTCAGCAGGGCCGGCGCGGGCCGAGCGGGCCGCGGGAAGCGGTGGGGAGCCCGGGACGGCGCAGGCTCACCGTGGCTCCGGAAGGCCACCAGCAGCGGCGGGATGTAGGTGAGCAGGGCGGCCAGCAGCAGGAAGAGCGCGGCTTTGGAGCAGAGCCCGGCGCGGTAGCCGCGCTCGACCGGGTGAGAGAAGAGCTCGTAGAGCGCCAGGGGCGCCGCGCGCAGTCAGAAACGCCGGGACCCCGCGGGGATGCCGGACGGGCGACCAAGTTCGGCTCCTTCTAGTTGCTATAGTTTGGTCTCCACGGCAACCGAGCGCTTGCCATGGAACCAATCGCAAAGATGCTGGGCTTTAGTGGGTGGGGCTAACGCGGCGGCACGCGGCGGTGGACAGTCGCCGGCAATTAGCGCTTAAGCTTCCTTAAAAGTTGAGCAGTAACGCGATGTTTTCGTGGATCTCAGTCGTAGCCATCGTCACTATTGACATTTGTGTGAAATAAGATGTTAATAAAAAAGGTGACTTGTAAGTAAAGGCGTGCTCTGTGTGATTTCTTTGCTCCCCATTTGGTTCATACTGAAGTCCAACCAGTCCCGCTGTCCCAGGCTAAGACCAAAGGCCGGGTTCTTTCGCCTCCAAGTTTTGCGTTGCTTCCACCATGCTCCAGAGCAGGGCAGACGCGGAAACAACACAAATCCCCAGGCACTTGGATCGAGGGCTATTACTATACAGCAGTTTTAGGGGTTGCTGTGGTCCTCCCCAAAGATAACATTGGCTTATCACGTAATAGAAGGGTTTGGCCGGCGCGCTGATTCAGGCCTGTAATTCCAGCACTTTGGGATGTCGAAATAGGTCGAATACTTTAGCTCAGGAGTCTACGACCTGCTTGGGCAACATAATGAGATCCCATCTCTACAATGATTTAAAAAAAATAGTCAGAACAGAAAAGTGGAGGGCTGGCCGGAAAGTATCCAGCTAGGCATGTGTCTATTTTTCATTTACACGGTACATGGCTGTACACATTGTGGTCATGGTGGTATGTGCCTGTAGTCCTATCAGGAGGGTGAGGCAGGACAATCACCTAAGCTCATTGCCATGAGCTATAAAGACGACACCACTGCTCCCTACCCAGGCAACAGAGCAAGATCCAGTCCCACACAAACAAAAATGGAATGGTTTTTCTTTTCCCCTAAACCAATATTTTGAACATGGCAGAAGGATTTTTTAAATACTATTGTCTGCAGCCAAGTTCCTCATCAAAAGTCCCTGAAGGATCACATTGCAGTGTCGGAGAGTGAGGTTTAGGCTCAAAGTGGAGCCTGGTAAGTTGATGCCTCTGCTTTGGGGGCAACCTAGAAAGGGCTTTTTGATGAGAACAGCTCAGGTCCTAACACACACACACATGCACACAGAGATCAAGACTGCCCATTTGGGAAAACTATTCCAGAGTCCTTGTCATAGTCCAAGATGACAGTTAATGTCATCAGCTATATGATGATTTTGAATATCATCAGGTCCAGTACTCCTCACTCTTGCTTTAAAGCTTTTCTGGGATGGCAAGGTAGTTCTTAAATACAGCAATCATTAGGCTTAAATCTATGGTATGATTCTGACATATTGTATCTATGCTTTTATGTAAATTACTTTCATTTACTTAACCACCAAAATGAGGGTCTTTTAGAATAAATGAATCTAGTGTCAACTTCTGTGACTTTCCTGTGAGGAAGGTGTTTTCCAAAACTCTTTCTTTCAATAGAAGCAAACAAATACCCTAGCTAAGTCACTGCTGAAACAGGGATGTGACTGCTAAGAATTTAGGTGTAGGAAGTGCTTCACATTTCCCTGAGATGGCATGAACTTTGCAAAAATCGTTAGTGATAATGGTTAGTAATATTTACTCTTTGCAAGCATGATTTGTAGAAGCTAGTCTTTGTGGTTTTACTTCAATTCTTTTAGAGAGAATATTAAACTTTTACAAAATGCTAAGGGTCTGCTTTATATATTATGTTCTTTTCATATACGCATGACTAAGAACTGACTTCTTGTGTTTCATAAATTTACTTCTAAGGACAAAAAGAGTCATTGTCTTAAAACTATACATTTTAATCATGATCCTCGCCTTTACACGAGTTCCTATTCAAGGTCTTTCAAAGTATCCTAGAATTCATGCATGTCTGCTTCAAGACTTTCCAATATGTCTTTTCCCAAAATATTTATCCATTTGCTTTCCTCTTACAACTCCAACCTTTGTTTTATCTGGAAGGGAGAGTTTACCTTCTGAAAAATGTTCCTTTCTCTCTTCATCAGAAGACTCGAGTTCTTTGTGAAATCTTTCTTGTTTATTCTCACTTGGCTTTGTGCTGGTCCCTAATGTCCTAGCTACCCCTTAGTATCCAGGTTCACACACCTCTCCAAGCCTGAAACTCATTCTCTGTGCTTTATATAATTGTGAATGAGTAACTGCATATATTCATCATCTTATTTTTCCTTCTGACTCACCTTCCCACCTAGTATCCCCCTCAAGGAAGGCATCCAGTGTTCTTAGAATATTCAATAGCTAAAGACAATGACCCAGTAGGTAAAGAAGGTGATGCATATCATCAAGGCAGATGAGATAAGCCAATTAGAATGGCAAATTGGAAAAAAGACACCCCAAAAGTAGGTAAGAATAAAAGACAGAAGACAGTGCACATCATGAGATGGTCAGGAGTTTGACCCCTGAGTAGGTGAGCAATGAATCTTTTCCCCAAGAAGTATACTCTCAACCTGTGGGTCGAGACCCACAGCAACTGTATTAAAGGGCTGCAGCACTAGGAATGTTGAGAACCACTGCTCTAAGGTCTTACACATTCAAGGGGATATAAATGTACCTTGGATTAGGACACAAATGACCAGCTCTGTAACTGGAACTTGCGTCCAGTTTCTAACACATTCACTGATTCACTGATGATTAGATGTTAAACTCCACTTTCATTCTTCAGTGTTTAATTTTCTTTGTGAAAGATATTTCCATATATATATATATATATATATATTTGACTCTGTCTCTCTTTGTCACCCTTGGTAGAGTGCTGTGGCATCACATAGCTCACAGCAACCTCCAACTCCTGGGCTTAGGCAATTCTCTTGCCTCAGCCTTTCGAGTAGCTGGGACTACAGGCACCTGCCACAACACCCACCTATTTTTCTGTTGCAGGTTGGCTGGGGTCAGGCCTGAACCCACCACCCTCGGTATATGGGGCTGGCACCCTACCCACTGAGCCATAGGCGCCGCCCATATTTCCATATTTTTATTCACTGCCTTGCTAATCTCATCCAGATCAATAGCTTTAAAGACTTCTCTGACTTTGAGACTCATAGAGTCATTCACCTGTTCTACATCTTCATTCAGATGTGTCTCTTGGGCATCTCATACTTAATATTCTAAAACCAAATTCTTGATTTTCACTCCGCAAGATGGCACCACCCTATCTCAGTAAATGGCAGTTTCATCTTTTAAAAAACCTTGATTGTAACCTATCCCTCACATCCAATCTATTAGCAATTTTTACCAGTTCTACCTTCAAAATATATCCAGAATACAATCGTTTCTCCTAACATCCCTAGACATCACCTTGGACTAAGCCAACTTCATCTTTCACAAGGGTTACCACAACATTTTAACTATTTCTGGGCTTCCACCCTCACCCCCTACAGTCTACTAATCAAGCCTGATATTTAACAAGAAAAGCCATATTGTGTTACACCACTTCTTAACACCCTAGACCAACGGTTCTCAACTTGTGGGACAGGACCCCTTTGGGGGTTAAATGACCCATTCACAGAGGCCGCCTAAGACCATCCTACATATCAGATATTTACAATATGATTCATAACAGTAGCAAAATTACAGTTATGAAGTAGCAACAAAAATAGTTTTATGGTTGGGGGTCACCATAACATGAGGAACTATATTAAAGGGTTACGGTATTAGGACCACTGCCCTAGACTGACTTCTCATCTCATTCTAAATAAAATCCAAAGTTCTTTTTTAAATTTTTATTAAATCATAGCTGTGTACATTAATGCAACCATGGGGTACAATGTGCTGGTTTTACACACAATCTGAAATGCTATCATCAAACTGGTCAACATAGCCTTCACAGCATTTTCTTGGTTATTGTGTTACGACATTTATATTCTACACCTAGTAAATTTCACATGTATCCTTAAATCCAAAGTTCTTTACATAGAATTAAATGCTTAACACAGTTCTTGTTCTATTTCTCTTTGAACTTAAAACAGACTCCCGCCCTTGTTTATTTAGCTCCTACTACCAAGACTTCCTACAGATTCTTAGAATATGCCCTACTACTTTTCTTTTTTTTGAGATGCAGTCTCACTTTGTTACCCTCAGTAGAATGCCATGGTGTCACAGCTGACAGAAACCTCAAACTCTCAGGCTCAAGTGATTCTGTGGCCTCAGCCTCCCAAGTAGCTGGGACTACAGGTGCCCGCCACAATGCCCAGCTATTTTTAGAGAAGAGGTCTCACTTTCGCTCAGGCTGGTCTCGAACCTATGAGCTCAGGCAATCCATCCTCCTCAGCCTCCCAGAGTGCTAAGATTACAGGTGTGAGTCACCACACCAGGCTTGCCTACCACTTTAATTAGCATTTCACCCCACAATCATTCTCTACTAGTCATTTACCCTGCCTCATTTTTCTAAATAGTACCTATCATTACCTGACACATTAATTTTTGTCTTCTCTCAGTAGAGAGACAGACACTCCATGAGAGCAGGTGTGTTTTCTGTCTTGTTCACTGTTTTCCCCCAGCACCTGGAATGGGACTTCTGTATGCAATAACAGTAATTTCTAAGCATGAAATTCAAAACATTTTTTTATTTTATTAAAACCAAAAACCTATTCTGGTTACTCAGACACACAATCTTAAAATAACAAAAATGCTTTTAGAATGAACTTAGCTTCCACAGCATCAGTCAGGAATTTCAACTGTAGAAAATGATGAACAACAGCCAAACCTACAGGCCTTACAGGTGCATCAGAATCCCAGGTATGTGGTAGGGTTCATGTGCTCAATTAAGTGAATATTCTCGATACATGTTCACCAGCTCATAAACAAGATGATGACCCATACCAGACTGCCTTGATGACTTGGCTTGGAAGAAGGTAATGAACATCACTGATTGGAGAACTTCAATGCACCTGCTGAAGCAGGTGACACTCG